TCTCTTCCAGCTGATGACTCTATGGCAACTCATTTCAGGGGAAAATGCTCGGGGGGAAAAATCAATACCATGTGAATTTCAATTCAAATTCAAAGACCAATAAAATGTTTAAGACATATATTGAGTTCAAAATGTTCTAATAATAAAACTGTTACCAGGGAAGCCTGAAGCTGTAGGAGAGAAGTTCAGTCCTGAACTAGAAACTCTCATTGGATCATCTCTCCTCAGAACTGGGCAGGTGAACCTAATGTTCGCTTGTTTACCTGCCTCTTGACAGTGTGTAGCTATTAGGGCCCAGCCATTGTGGCAATGGGACCAGATCCTCAAAAATAGGAGCCAGGACTCTCAGATTCAATACTTGGCTTTGTTTTCCATAAGAGAATCAAGCACTCAGAGTACTGGTCTACCAGTGAGCTTCTGGCAGAGTTTTTGAGGGAAAAATAATAAACATAAAATATTTTTAAAAGCTTACAAAGTATTATAAAAACGAATGAATTTTCCTAATTATTACCAAAACTTTACACCCATCAGATTACAAAATATATGTGTTTGCTTTTATTAAATTTAATAGAAAAAGTGTGAAATCACTGATGGTGGTCAAACATCATGAAAGTAAAAGCTAAATGGAATGTCCATGTGATTTAAAAGAAAATGGATTCCTTTCTCACTGTTTTCAGTGAAACAGTCAGATCTGGCTTACTCGGACCCTGGATACCCACATCTTATGCTAACATCAGAAATAGATGCATAGTATCCTATCTTTTCCTTTTTTTATTTTTATTTTTTTTAATTTTTTTATTCATTAAGTTATTACATATGTGTCCTTATCCCCACGATACGCCCTATCCCCACCACTCATGCCTTCACCCCCCTGTTGTCTGTGTCCATTGGTTAGGCCTATATGCTTGCATATAAGTCCTTACCCCCACCTCCCTTACCTTCACTCTGAGGAATATCTTTTTCTTTAATTTGGAAAACTTACACAGAATGAAATAACTGAGCCACATCATGGTGTCTGTTGAGTGCCAACTCTCTGTGCGGGGCCTGAGGTCAGTGTGTTGCATCCATTATCTCGCGAAGAAGTAATCACAGTGTCCGGGAGGATATTTGCAAGCCTTTGAATCACACCAGGCAGCTTCCCCTCTGAGCCTGGGAGGTGGTAAATGTCACCTTGCCCCTTCTGGGTCAGGCTGTCTCCCAGAACTCTGAACTGCACGAATCTAGATTTGTGATCCTCAAAAACCTTCCTTTTGATGTGTTTAAATATATGGTGAATCGTCATTACTCACAGATTCTGTATTTGTGAATTCACCTTCTTGCTAAAATGCATGGTTAACCCCCCGTTCAATACTTGCAATGGTTTTATGGTCATTCGTGAACATGTTGAATACATGCGAAGCCCAGTGCTCACAAACTCAGCTGATATGGGACAAGGAGACACGCGGCCTTGTTCCAGCGCTCAGACTACGGTCCTTTCCGTGATGTATGTATTTTGTGCCAATTTTGTTAATTTTTGTATTTTTGGTTGGTGGTTTTACTGTATAAAGTGACCCCTAAATGTGGTGCTGAATGCTGTCTATGCTGTTACTGCTCAAAACGCTGTGATGTGCCTTTTGGGGGAAATATGTGTTGATTAAACTTCAATTAGGCATGAGTTATGGTGCTGTTGGCTGTGAGTTCAATTTAATGAATCAACATTATTATTAAATAAGGTGTTTTTAAACAGAAACACACATAAAACAAGGTTTTATATTAATTGGTTGATAAAAATGTTGTAACCAGGGGGAATACAGGATTCTAATCCTGTATTTCCTTTACAAGCAATACTTAGTATTCTCTAATTCAGTGTTTGTGGCAACTTCATAAACTACACCTCCCCCAAATAATGAGGATCAGCTATATCCAGAGACACCATCAAACTTGACTTTCTTAACTGATGGTTTGATGTCTGATAATCTGATTACTCAGCTTTTGAATTGAGATTGGGAAATTAATACAAGACCTCAAATGCCAACTTTTAAACTGATGGAACTTTTATGAAGAAGCCATTAAGGACTGAAATGAAACATTTATATGAAAGTTCTCATGAACCCTAACTCTCTGAGGAAAATGATCTCAGTATAATCTCTCTGATGCTCAGCAGTCCTATTTTTTTACTTGAAGCATGTTGTCTTCCTGAATAGAGAGAAAGAGAATAGAAATTTGAAAGATTCCAGTTTACAAGGTTTTTAAAAATGTGCATAAGGCATACTGCTGTGTACAACTCAAACCAACTTTATGAGAAATGATGAACTCTTTACATTTAAGCCATGCTAACAAAAATCCATGAAATCCCCAACCGTCTCCATTCTAAACTCTCACATAAAAGGTGGATTCATGACAGTCAGTTTATTAAGCGCAGAAAGGGCATATTGAGACACTACTGTAAAGTGACTTTTTAAGTTGTAAGTAAAACTATGATACAGAAAGTTCCGACCTGTCATTACTAGCCCCATTTCTTTGTAGTAAATGTAAAATTATTTCAAGGAAATCCTATGTCTTTCATTTATAATCAGAATCTTTTAACAAGATAGTGCTATTAAAAACTTTTGGAGAGTCCCCTGTCTCCCTGATATTCAATTTATAACACAAGCGCTAATTATTTTTCCAATAATAATGAATCAACAATAATTTATTTAACGATAGGTGAGTGTCTTTTCAAAAAAGCAATGATTCTTAGATAACTTGTCAATAGTGTTTTGATTTTGAGGCAAGTATTGGGTTCGTGGTTATATTCATTTTTTAGTTCATTTATCTTTTACATTGAGGATTATTTATAAAAATTTTGAAATTTGGAAGTCCACAAATGGTATAGGATGTTATTAATTAGGCAACATTTTATTTAATACTAGTGCCCTGGTGCACAGATCTGTGTACATTGAAAGGTAATTAATTAGAAGGTGGCTGTTGGGGCAGGACTGGGCAAGTCATCTGGACATGCCCTGGACCCAACCTCCTTCCGTCCCTCCCTGGCAGGCCACAGCTGGGGCAGCGCCAGGGTTCAAAGGGTGTCTGTGAAGTGAGCGGGGGGTCTCTGGCAGGTGGGGTCCCTCAGACATCCCCTGAGTGGTCCCAGATTGCGAGAGTGTGGTTCTCGGGTGATGCACCCCAGAGGAGGGAGCCAAATTCTGGGGTGTGTCACCTGGAAACTGCCACTGCCAAGTCACCACAGCTCAGCAGCTCCTGCATTGAGTGTCTGTCCCCTGGTGATCATTTCGCATCATAGCTACCGGTCTGTATATAGATTTCAGTAGTACAATCCTATTAATAAAAGCCTATGTGATCATCACGCCCTTATGCCATGACACCCTCATGTCGCAAGGAGCGATCCCCAGGAGGCTGCATATGCAACGGACACGTGCGGGTGGGTGGGGTTGCATGTGCATGTGGGTGGACAGGGGCTTGACACTGCATGTGCTGTGTGGAGGCGAGGCCCGCTCTCTGGCCTACCTCTTTGGGGCAATCCATTGATGAGCCCTGGATGGATGAGCAGGGCCTATCTCTTTGGGGCGATCAATCACGGGGCTCCCACACTGTGAGAGGGCACAGGCTGGGGGACCCCCCCTTCGGAGTGCATGAATTTCGTCCACCAGGCCTCTAGTGATATTATAAGCATTTACTCTGTGTCAGGCACTGAAAGGGTGCTTGGTACGTTGTATATGTTTTCTTTAATTATGACAGTAACTGTATCCAATAAGTATTATTCTCATTTTACAGGGGAAAAAAACATTGACGTGCAAAAGACCTAAACATTTTGCTCAAGGGGTATAGAAGGCTAAGATAAGTTATTAAAGAAATAGTTTCAAACTTAGGTCTGAGAAAATATCCAAAGTCATTGCTTTCTGCAACTAAATTAATTTATAAATTAATTTCTTATAAATAAAGTTGTAGTCTAATATTTATTTTTTCTGAATGTGTAGCTTTAAATGATAAACATGACATAGAACATGGTCTTTCTTTTTTATAAATCTTTATTGAACGTATTACATTATGTCCCCTCTTTTCTCCCATTGACCCCTTATAGCCCGCCCCCACGCCCCACCCCAGGTCTTCACTCCCCTATTGTTCGTGCCCATGGGCTATGCATGTATGCATACAAGTTCACTGGTTGGTCTCTTCCCACCCACCCGTCCCACCCGCCTTTCCTCTGAGATTCCACGGTCTGTTCCATGCTTTCATGTCTCTGGATCTATTTTGTTCATTAGATTGACTGATCACTGACTTGGGTTTAAAGAAATAATTTAGAAGGTCAATTCGCTATTCTTATTTACATAAGCAAATTATCAAAACCGTCTTATTAGTCTATTATTTTTTGCCTAAATATTGTCTACCATGTGGTACTGTTGCGACACAAGACAACGTTCATATCAGAACTCTATGACTCATCACCATGTAATTCTAGAACATTTTCATTGCCCCAAAGGGAAACCTATACCCATTCCTAGTATTTCCCTATTCACTTCTCCCCCTACCTGCTGCCAAACTCTAATCTGCTTTCCTCTCTATAGATTGGCCTCTCTAGATATTTCATATAAGTGGAATTATACAACATGTGGCCTTTTGTGTCTGGCTTCTCTCACTGAGCATGACGTTTTCAAGGTACATGCCTGTTGTACCATGTATCAGTACTTCCTTCCTTTTTTATGGCTGGATAGTGTTCCATTCTGTGGATAGACCACACCTGTTTACCCATTCATCAGTTGATGGGCATTTGGGTTCCCACTTTTGGCTGTTTTGCATAATGTCACTCTAAAAGCTATTGTATAAGATTTTGTGTGGGCATAGCTTTCATTTATCTTGGGTAGATCATTTAGATCTTTCTTCTCCATTTTCATTGCTTTGTTCTCAGTGTAAGCCCTACCCAGAACAACAGGAACTCTTCACATCCTTAACAGAGATGGATAAACACTCGGCTGCCATGTCTCCCTAAACCTGATCTCCATTTGCCTGTCTTTTCCCAGAACCACCCATTGGCCAGATGCACCCCCCTCATGGCAGCGTCACTCCTCAGAAGAACAGCAACCTGCTGGTGATCATTGTGGTCACCGTTGGCATCATCACGGTGCTGGT